AAAATGCATTATTGTTAAAATTTTAATTTATCGTACGAATACCGGGTGTTAACCAAATCTGGATGAGACTATTTCTCCGTAATTTTCTATGACTTAAAATATATTTTCACGCAAACTACAACAGTCCAAAATTTTTGACAAGTGGCAATATTTTCAGTAACATTGCTTTTCATAAAAATAAACAATTTTTGCCAGAAATTACCAAAAGAATGTGCCAGAAACACAATCGAGGGGTCAGCTTCAAATCTAGAATCAATATCACGACAGATTCCTATATTTTAACGTTGACAGGCTACTAGGGTTTCAGAGAATTAACCTTTGCTCTATAATTAGAGGATAAATAAATGTTAAATATACTATTATAAGTTCTTACATAGGCCTAAGCTGATGGGATGCCTTTATAAATGACTGGTTTGTAATGTAGCTATATAGTTCAACCAGTCTAAATACAGTGATTTCAAAGACAGCCATAAATCAAGCACTGAAACCTATAAAGAGAAAAGCTCTTTCAATAATAGAGTTGCTGGACCATGTCGCCTGGCTTTAGGTTGTAAGAGTTATGGCCTACAACTTCTGAAGCTACATATCCAACCAGATCTACTCCACTCCAATGGCTTAAAGTTATCTTTTCTTATGAATACACTATGTATTAAAACTTCCATGTAAGTAAAAATGACGTGAAAATGTTTTTGTTGATGTTTTATTTATCTGTACATATTTGTGTTGTTTTATAAGAGGGTTGTGTATAGTAACAAGACCAGGGATGGGAACGGTCCCCTTACAAGACTTTTAAAAAAGCAATTGGATTGGATAAACACTAAAATACACCAAGTAACTCATCCTATTGCTACGCTACTATATTTTTATAATCTTTTGGATCTATTGACTAGATATTAAGTAGGGAAGTACGATTTAAGTAAGTTGATAAACTAAAAATGAATCAAAGACACTAGCACACTACTTTTACACTTACACACACACAATATACAAAGCCACCTGCGCACATACAGTAAGTTGCCTAGGAAATTTAAACCCGATACCTAAACTATAATAAAACAAATTTAGCTGAACGGTAAATTAGGGTTTTCCGAACTTCATGATCATAGATGTGTTACTATATCACATAAAACATCAAAAGAACCGCATTATTCTCTTCCCATTTTTCCCCAGTGTAAACCACTAGAAAAGTTAATGGTAATAAAAATAAAACCTTCTAGAAATGTGATTGGCATTTTTAAGTGCCGAATAGACCTTATTTTGGTTTAATCGTACTCCAAATATTATCAGAAAAAGATTGCAACGGGAAACCTTGATACTATTCTCATATGAAAGAATTAATTTCTAAACTTATTCTCTTTTCAAAATTCGAGTTTTATTACGGGAACATCTCTTTGACAAACTACATTTTACTCAAAACTTGCACCAACTCCTACATAGATCATACAAGTTTAAAGTTCTTGGTAGAAAGGATTCAAGAGATAAATTTAATAAGAAAAGTTTCAAATCGTCGCTCAGCTTATAACGAGCTACTTCTGTATTTCTGACATTTTTACTATAATAATATAATTGTGTTCTACCTCTAAATATAATTGTATAATTTATAAAAATTTCACTGCTGTATAAAAATATTTTGTATATTTACTATAGCCTAAAAATTTTTAAATTGATATAAGTTTCTGATGAGTAGCATTACAGTTCCCAGTCTTGAATACTCACTATAACGTTAAACATCTCATACTACAAATGAAAGCTATCCCGTTTTTAAAATAAATCCCATATTTGGGATAAAATCTTACAACTTTACCCTGAGCTGACGCGACGTTGATGTGTTCACTTGTGTCCATCAGACCGGCAACATTTAATAGCTTCTCTTGTGCCTCATTTACTGCTCTTCTATAAGCCGCATTTTATTACTTTTTTAAAACTGTAACAATACATCTTCAATATGCTACTAGAGTGTATCATATTCAGTTGCAATATCTAAATAAAATCTTCAAAAAATTTTTAGAATGTATTGTAGCATTATGTTATCCATGGTGAGCATTACCGTTTAAATTACAGGATAAAATATTCAAACTACAAACTTAAGTATTTCTTTTACTTCCCTCGGAAAAAAATAATCAGCTGAAGTCAAGGACATTAAGAATATGTTTCGATATTAAAATTTGACCGCTGATTTTGCGTAGAATATAGTCCCAATTAATTATAATATATATATATATGTTGTTGTATTTATTATGGTCACTATTCAGTTTTCACCTTGTATATTAATCTTATAGGTATGGTCTATTCAATAATAGTTTACATTGTATTTAGTAAGTAAATGCAGCTCTCCTCTGGCATGGAGGTACGGGAATTAAATTTTAAAACTAAGTTACCTTCTTGCCGCAGACTAATACAATTAGGTATGCAGTGAAGTGTATGAATATGGAGTTGAAAGAGGCATACATTTACATAAACCTTTTTAAAGGTTTTTTGGCACTGTACTTATTAAATTTACTCCTTAGATAAATGCACATTTTAGTTGTATCCTTGACTATTAATACAACAACATCCAATAGTCAATGGTTGTATTAAGAGAAATGTTTTATGATTACGAAATAATGATATATAGTTTACTAATTAAATATCCCTAATATCATATGGAAATTCAAAATATATTACTTCATAAGTGCACCAATGTAGATTATAAATGTACATAGATCAAATAGGTTCGTATTTCAAAAATAGACTAGTGTAATATGTTTAAATATATAAATAAGTATCGATGAGTGTCATGGTTTAAGATTTTAATCGCTTGCATCAGGACATTGAAGTTAAATATTCTAAACTATTAAGTAATAATAATTCAACAGAAAAAGCTTAAGCCCAGACCATGATTATCACAATAGATTTCAAATTGGACGAAGTTTGAAGATTTTCAATAGAAAGCTGTTATTCTCTGAGAGCTTTTAATTAGGGATCATTTCAGAAATTATTCGAATCGGTTGAATCTCGTTTGTGAAACAATGGAAAACTCATTAAAACTGTTCATCCCAGTTAGAAAATACTCGGACTGATAACGAAGAGTAGAATTCGATTTACCTCCATAAGGGAAAAATCCGTAGATAGATTCCAAGTCAAAACGTAGCAGAATGAACGGATTGGCGTGATATTGATTTTTATTTGAAAAGTTGATTGAAATTGTACGAACCTAAAACGACTTGTTCCTAACGTTTACATCAACTGTAATTATATTTTAAAGTGAATATTAGGTAGGATATCAGATTAATACCTATCCCCACATCTTGAATCTAAGCTAAATCTAAATTTTTCAGATAACCTAATTACTACGCAATATAATGGACCAGTAACCATTGTAAAGAGCAGACAATATTTGTGTTTATTTTTGGATATGAAGGAAAATGGTAGATTTTATTCCAATGTTGAAAAAGTGATTTTTTATAAGAATTGCATTTAAGTCAACGTGTTATGTAATTGAATCAAAATATTGAACTTTTACTAAATGTTTCAGAGAATCTAAATTCAGTCAAATTCCTCATATTGCATCGGTTAGGTTTTACATATAGGAAATTTGATCAAGTTAAATTAAACGAATAAAAACCCAAATTAAAAAGGTAAAAGGAGACCTGTTTGCTACAGTATCGTGGGTCCTTGTATCGATTTCAACTGATTTTTGTTGATGAGCATCAAAATTTTGAGAATAACAGACTAGTTATTTTTTTACTGGCAGCACTCCGATATTGGATCATCCTATATTGGATAATGTTTACAAAATATAACATATTTACAATAAATATTACAATTCACGCATGTACTTTGAATATTAATTCATATATTTTACTTATCTCATTCATAGAAAAATAATCGCTTTGTTCCTCCAGGAGTTCGAAGATATTTCTTCTGGATATTCATAAATACGCATATAGGACAGACAGATGGATTTTTAGCTATCTTTTTTGACAGCAAATAATCAAATATTTCCCTCAATTCCTGTCGACATTAACGCTCATTAGTACAAGAATAGCCGTGGTATTCTTCAGACGCAATACCCGCAATACACGCGTGGCTCTGTATTGCCAGACAATACATGCATACAATAATACGCTGTATTGGTTAATATGCAATTCTCTTTTGCCTGTAAAAACATATTTCAATTCATTTTGTGGAATTAAATTGGTTAAATTCAATTAGAATCCTCTAATTGACTAGGACGGTGGCGTCGTCCTGTAATCCAGCTGAGGTCACGAAGTGTGGATATTTAAAGGCATGCACTGTGGATGCAATACTCCCTGGTGTGGTTTAACGTCCGCACTAGTGAGTACTATGACTATCCACAGTACTACCCTGATAATTAGACCAATTCGTTAATACTAATGCAAAAATGTGGTTTGGATTCCACAATAAACTGTAGGTCCCTTAGTTGCTATTAGCTGTATGGGCTATTAATTAACAGCTGTGTCTAAGGAATATGTCCGCTTTGGTCACTAATGACAAGATACATAACAAGACTACAAGATCGCGTCACTCATCCTACACTCATCTCCATTCATACTTGGCTTAAAATACCTACTTGGTATGGTCGCCATTTCATTGAAAAATCTTGAAGTATTAAATACATTTATGGGGAGTGTAGAAACGTTATAGAAGTAAATTAATTTCTTTCAATAATAAAATGTGTAAAATTTTCCAGAGACTTAACTTTTCTTGCATGTGCTTTTACTGTACAAAATATGAACTTTCTTAAACTCAACACTTTTAGTACATCTGCTTGTAGTACACAAAACTTAAATTGAATTTTTTCACGTTATACAAAGAGCCACACATAAAAGGTTTTCGTGGTTCTGTAGAATTCATATTGAACGTATTTGGAATTACCTCTCATTAAGCTCTTAAATCCCACAGTAATCCACTGATACAGGAGGCTTTGTAGGATAAAAGTCTCATGAGACATTCGGTTCATCGCAGCAAAGAGCTGCGCGGCTTATCTACAATATGCGATGGTCGGTAATAACTCAGTCCACCATCTGGGGACGAAGTTGTGGAACCACCCGTCGAAGGAGGTGAAATCAAATACATCGAACAGTTCTACGTGTTTTAATTTAGTGTGTGAGTTTGCTCATTGTTGCCGTGGATACCAATCAATATTTACACGTCAGAACTTTTGAAGCCTACGGGGCAGAGTCCTAGTTCAATATCGAAGCAGGAATAGTTCTATATGTATCCTCGGAGCTGTAGCGTTATTCGTGTGGAACTTGAGCCCAGTCTGTTCAGTACCTTTTACGTTTAGTAAAGTACATACAAAAACACAGCCAGCCAGGCAGGCAGACAAACACCTCATCTTGTTTATAATAAAAGTTCAAGATAATTAATTTTGAGGTTTTTCTATGATACGACCATTGTTCACGTAGTCTTAACCAATGTAGTTAGGTTTTCTTAAATCATTTCCTATTCCAAGTTAACAAAAGTAAGTTTCAGTAGACAGCTGACGCTAAAATTTGAACTGTAAACATCTAAACTTACATAACACATAATTCCCAAAGCAGAAAATCCTTAGTAGTAAATTTTACATTTCCAGTTGTTCAAATAGCCAGGAAAACAAGAAATGCAGCAGAATACAGAGCAGCCAGTTTACAAACTCCACAACCAGGATTTTAAATATATAAGAGATTGGTTGTTGCAGAGAGGTTACATATTTAACGATCCTCATTTCAAGTTGAATAAAGAATATGAGTGGCTACGACCATCGAAGATAACTCAAGAACCTCAGTTGTTCGTTGGAGAAACGACTCAACACGATGTCATGCAAGTGCCATCTGTAGGATACTGCTATTTAATAGCGGCCATGTCTGCTCTGGCGTTTCATCCGGAACTTGTGAAGCAAGTGGTTCCTTCAGATCAGAGCTTTTATGATAAATACGCAGGAATATTTCACTTTCGGTTTTGGAGATTCGGAAGATGGTACGATGTAGTAGTAGATGACCGTCTCCCAACTCTGAAAGGGAAATTGGCCTTGATGAAATCGCCAACTAATGCTTTCTGGCCAGCTCTGTTACTAAAGGCCTACTTCAAATTTCTGTATGGCGCATACCAAGATGTAGAAGAAGGGGGGAATTCTTTCGTAGTTATGCAAGATTTCACGGGTGGAATAGTTCAGGAAATCTCTCTAAACAATCTTCCCGAAACATTTGAAAAGACTTTGCTCAAGGCCATTGCAAGAAAATCGCTCGTATGTTGTGGAATATATGGAGAGGCTAAATCTCATCTAGGTCTTGTTAGTAATCACGCATACACAATAACTGGTGCAAGAACCGTTAGTGTCCCTGGACGTGGAGAAGTCCTTTTGATTCGTATCAGAAATCCTTGGGGCTATTTTGAGTGGAAAGGCGCATGGAGTGACGGATCCCGGGAGTGGGAATTAGTCCCTAAAGACCTCAAAGAAGAATTAGCAGTTGTTAACCGGAATGAGGGAGAGTTTGTGATGGAATTTTCAGACTTTAAGTCAAACTTCGAGCACGTTGATATATGCTATTTGAGTCCGAACGTATATTTAAACGCGTACGGACAGAACTCAGAAGTCGGACTTTGGCACTTGGATATGGTCAAGGGCAGTTGGATAAAAGGTGTGACAGCTGGAGGATTAGAATCGCTGCATGAGAATCCCCAAATAAGGTTTTGGCTGAACGAAGCGGACGGTGACAACGACGGTGAGTGCTCTGTGCTGATTGCGTTGCTAATAAAACATCGTGCCGCAGTTCTAGGGTTTAAGGTTTACCGTATTTCTGACTTGAACCAACCTGCTTTGGACCATTACTTTTTAAAAAACAACCAACCAGTTGGATACGTTTCCTTACGCCATAGCCATGAAGCAGTAAATAGATATGAGTTGAAGCCAGGAGCGTATTGTGTAATTCCTTTTACAGAAGAAGGAAGAAATGGAGATTTCCTTTTGAGAATTTACACTGAAAAGAAACCCCTAATTAAGGAATTAGATTCTTCTAAAGTTGGGCTTTCACCGGATGATGTGCCAGACCGTGACGCACCAGTGTCACGAAGAACAACAGAAACTATTAAAGATTACAAAATTGACCAATCAATTACGGACTATTTCCTCAAGGTGTCTGGCCCTAACAAGGAAGTTGATTGGAAAGATTTAAAGAACGTTTTAGATTTCGGTTTGAAGAAACCCGTTTCGCCAGCTGAGGTAAATAGTGACGGTTGGGAACATTTTCTTTTTGACGCAGCGACTTTTATATACAACAAAGTTTTGGAACCAACCTGTGTAGGAAGTGCTCTAGGAAAGACGACAGGTGGTTATTCATATGATCTGTGTAGAAGCATGGTAGCCCTACTGGATACAGACCATTCAGGGAAGCTGGAGTATAATGAATTTCAAGCCTTGTGGAATATGATTAAAACGTGGGAATCAATTTATGAATTGTACAGCGATAAGGCTACAGGATATTTGAACTCGTCAAGTCTTCAAAATGCTTTGGAAGCACTCAATCTTAATGTTGGTCGCCAGATACGCAGTAGTTTAATACGAAAATACGCAACAAGAGACGGCTACATATCTTTCGAAGATTTTATGCATTGTGTTATAAAAATAAAATCCATGACGGAGTTTTTCAAATCCAAAGATGAAAGTACGTCACAAAAAATACTTCTTACTTTCGAGGAGTTAATAGGAAAAGTACTTTATTCCTGATTTCACCAAATGTTATTCCTGTAATAAATGACAAGCCAAGTTAATTTTGTTTTCTTATTGCTTACTATCAAAGCTAACCCTTGATAGGATAAATTAAAATAAAATATACACCAGCAATTTAGGGTTGCTACTACTTCCAACTGTAAATAAAGACCGAACTTTGTATTGGATTTAGAATCAAAGATCATATTGAAATATGACATGGCTGATTCAAAAGACAAAATATTACTGTAGGTTTAGGTGTGCTGATGTTGCAAACACTGATGATTTCAGTGCTGAGTCACTCTCAGCTGTTACACTAATTACTTCAGCAACAGAAAGTGACTGAGACAGCATGCTGAGTCCTGTTTATGTGATAATAGTGAATAAACTTAAGACTATATTATATATTTTTCCAAAAGGCTATTGCTTATAATATTCCTTGATAGCAAATTATAGGGCTAACCTAACCTAACCTATTTTATGCAGCGCACTGTTTAGCGACAGGTCGTCTGAGAGTTATGTGATTAGGATCGTTGGAAAGCCTACTTGACGCCGTTATCTGTGGTCATAGAGTAATGGTCACCTGAGCAACTAGCGTTTGTTATGGAGTCGAATTTAAAAAAGTATTGATTCAGTCATTACAACTCAATGCTTGCTCAGTGGCAGTTCCGTGCAGTCTTTTAATTAGGGTGACATTGGTTCAGGCAAGTAGCACATAATGTGGTGGGTTGCACCAACTAGAGGCAAGACATGGTGTTGTTTGTGTCAACAGCGCTGGATGTGTGTTGAGATCTCAATCAGCTTTTAAGAGATTAACGTTGTGATCACCTGATGTCACTTCAATTTTATAAAAGAAATAAGTTTTATGTCCAGCCCTTCTCTTTTTTATTGTTCGTTTTAGTGAATTTCCTTACAGAAGCTATCATCGTAGGTGGCCCAGCAAGATTATGATCTTGGATCGGTTTACTTTTTCATTTTCATAAACTGGGGGTTTTCAATTTGTCACCCTTTAAATATAAAGAGCCCATATTTTTTACAAAACTATCGTGTAAGGCTTCATTAAAAAACTAAATATTTTGTATATTGAAGCGTTTTTGTAGGGTTTGTTGTTATGGGAAAATGTTTCAAACCGGTGGATTCCAAATGCTTTTATCTTAACTGTGGGCGTAACAGTAAACTGTTGTAGTATGCTTATTTATGGAAATATTCTGATCAAAGTTGGCAAATTAATTTATTTCACACCATGCTATCAATTTTTTACAGAAAAACATGTTTTCCTTCCCTATAGCAGCTAATCTAAATGCACATGAAGTTTAATGTTATTTATAAGCTATAAGAAATATATCTCACAAGTTTAAGAAAATATTCTAGTAAATAATTCGACCAGACTAATGGAATTTCGTTTAGTACAAACTTACCTAATTTTACTTAGGAATTAAAAAAATAATTTACGATCTGCGACTAAAATAATTTTATTTCCGATTTGCGACTGTTGTAGTAAAAAAATATCTTCCTATTATAAAATAGCTAGTGGTCTTCCAGTTGTCGAAAACTCGAGCAAAAATATCTAATGTACCTACTTTTCTATTTCCACCCCACCCTGTAAGTAATACATGTGATTGTAATTTCTTCCATTTATTTTGGTTTTCTTGTTATATTTCGTTGTTATTCTGTCACCAGCGTGGCAACCACGAATTTTTCTAGTATTCGTAGTGGCAACCCATTAAAAATACCAATGTTAATTTACTTACATTTTAAATTCATTTTTGTGTTTATTTCTGAGCCTATTTTAATTTATAAAGGGATTCTGCACACCTACAGGTAAATATCTTTCTAACAGTATGCGTAAATTTTCCCTACAAGAGGTGAGAAAAAAGCTTTTAAAGAAACATTCTTGCCTATTTATATAAAACTACAACACTATCTATATCTATATCTATCTATATATTAATAGGCAAGCATGTTTCTTTAAAACCTTTTTTCTCAGCTCGTGTGCATCGTAGGGAAAATCTACGCATACCGTTAGAAAGCTATTTTCCTGTAGGTGTGCAGAATCCCTTTATAAATTAAAATAGGCTCAAAGATAAGCACAAAAAATTAGTTTAAAAATTTGAAAAAATTAACATGGAATTTATGGGTTGCCATGCTGGTTACGAAATAACAACGAAATATAAACAGAAAATCAAAACAAATGGAAGAAACTCAAATCACATGTTTTATTTACAGTGTGGGGAGAAAATAGAGAAGTCTGTACATTACATATTTTTGGTCGAGTTTCGACCACTGGACGACCTCTCGTACTTATTTAATACGCAAGCAGGATTTTTGTGACAATTACTCCTCCTAAACTACTGAACCGAATGACATGTTTTTGGTGTCATTGGAAAGAGTGTAACTTGAAGTTGTGCAGGAAACTTTCTTTTTAGGGAAATAATTAGAGAGTGAGGCCCTGGGGCCCTTTAAAGTTTCGTATTCCTCCATAAGGATAACATGGGAGATAATTTTTATTTACAGAAACATATGTTTGTTTCTTGAAAATAGTCAAAGTCTACTACATAATAATTGCTGAGTATTATGACTGTTAATGTATATTACATTTCAATCAAGGATTGTGTACCTTAAAGTTTACTCATGATGGATCTTACTACTTTATTTTAATGCTGGGAATGGTAACATTCAGTTGAGAATAAGTTACCATGATTTAGAAAACTTTAATATAATAATTTATGTATTTAAAATTACAAATCTTTGACAATATTAATTCATTTGAAACTAAACAGCTGGTCAACAAATCAAACAAATCATCTACTTCATGTGAATAATATTGTTACACAAACATAATTTATTTTAACCAATAACTTGATTCTTTTACTTTCTCCCCCTATACCATAGTATATGGAGAAAGTATTGTTTTCGTCAAAATTTTCGAGTTTGAGTTTTGAGTGGATATATCCGTTTTGGGTCCCCCTGGACCCAAAAAAGTGGTTTTCAAAGTGATGTCTGTGTGTGTGTGTGTGTGTGTGTGTGTGTGTGTGTGTGTCTGTGTGTCTGGATGTGTACAGAGCTAGGGACTACACCTGTGGTCCGATTTCGATGAAATTTGGTATGTAGGTTCTAATCCATGGTATCTCCAGGCGTTTTTTTCATTTTTTTGAATTTTTGATTTTTAATGGGGATTTTCCCATAAAAACCCATAAAAAACTGGAAAAATCGGATTTTCTCGAAAATGGCCCGAACGATTTTGATAAAAATGTAGTATGTTGTGGCCCTTTAAATTCTGAACAAAATGGTACAAATCCCATTTCTGTAAAAATTACGGTTCAAAAGTTATGGTAAATTATGTTATTTTCCCATAAAAACCCCATAAAATAACGAAAAATAGGATTTTAGAAAAAAATCCGGTTTTATTTTAACATAGTATGTTATGGTCCTTAAAACTTTGATAGTTTTTTCATTTTAAAATTTTTTTATTTTTAATGGGAATTTTCCCATGAAACCCCATAAAAAAACGGAAAAATAGGATTTTCCCAATAACGGCCCGAACGATTTTGATAAAAATTTTGTATGTTATAGTCCTTTATATTCTGAACAAAATGGTACAAATCCCATTTCTGTAAGAATTATGGTTCAAAAGTTATTGTAAATTATGTTATTTTCCCATAAAACCCCATAAAATAACGGAAAAATCCGATTTTCACAAAAATGGCCCGAAAGATTTTGATAAAAATTTAGTATGTAGTCCTTTAAATTGTGAACAAAATTGTATAAATCCCATTTCCGTATATTTACTCTTACCGCTTACACATGATAAAGGTTGTTGACAAACTTATGGGAGAAAGTATGTGTCAGAATGCTGATACCGTTTATTTTACTTGTGGGTGTATTTTGAGTTTGCAGTTATGATAGCACTAAGCCATGTAACTTTTATCTAATTTTCTTTATAAACTTACAGTATTAATGAATTACTACATGGACTTGACAATTTATTGTCAGTATACCAAGGGAAAGAAGAGCGGGTCCTCGAAAACAGACGAAGGCGGAGACACCCATCTAGAAAATCCAACTGAGTTTTTAAATATAAAATAGAGGTCAGTGGATTGCCAAGACACAGATTAGACTAATAAAAGGGGGCAGTGGTTTTATTGATGAGGAATATTAATACATCAAAAAGGGCCTCATTAATGGGACAAGGCTTCATGTGATCAGAACGGTCAACAACTTAATAGAATGAAAAGTCCTAACTAGAACAAGTGAGTGGGGGACATATTTTGATTTCGAGGATAAAAATTTGCCCGTCTGAAACAAACTTACCTTTTAAAATGGAAAGATGGTAATTTCTGTTATCTTTGGCATTTGCAGCACAAGCACTTTAATTAGAGAGCAGCACTGTTCTTACCCAGACCAATTTCAGTCATGAGCAACCATATTATATGTTGTTTTAAGTAAGGCAACATCTTTTAATAGGATACGCATATTCATTACGGAAAATTCTGACCAGGGTAATATTCCTGAAGGTAACTTTATGACTAAAATCGTAGTATTCATGAAAGTGCTTTTGTGAAAAAAAATTTTGTTTTGTAGTGTTTATTTTTTAAAGTGTTTTCTTCAAGCAGCATTTTATGACCCTCAAAATATGCTACACAGGCCTATTGGTTTGATATGATCAAATTGTTTTTTGAATCTGTTTTTAAAAATCTTTAAAAAAATAACTACCCTATAACATACTTGAACTTCAACACTTAATAATTTACTAAATATAATACACATTCAGCTAGAAAATGGCTGGACTGCTTCGCTTTTAAGGCTTTATTATTAATGTATTTAATTTTCGACGTCGAGTCAATATATTATAACACGATGAATTTGTTTTCTAAATTCATATGTTATTTTGCGGGGCATTGAGCCGCACAGGTTCACTAGTTATAATATAAAACAAGCGCGTGTACGGACAAACTTTTATTTTCGTCCGAGGATTTTTTTAGTTTTTTGTTTTTTTAGGGGGATTTGGCCTCGAAAAATCGATTGGAGTTGGTTAAAAAATTAAACATAAAATTAATCATATGAGTTATGTAGCTAAATTGTAATAATAAATTACTATAATTTAGCTAAATAACTTATCTAATTAATTTTATGTTTAACTCAATACAAGCAAAGCTCGGTCTCCTGGTTACCTTCAAAATACAATCAAAAGAGCACTTCAAAATACAATCAAAAGATGAACGTTCAAAATACAATCAAAAGAGCACTTCAAAATACAATCAAAAGAGCACTTCAAAATACAATCAAAAGATGATCGTTCAAATTCAATCAACTTCTCAGATGAACGTAAAGTGATAAAATGACACTATTAAGTTACTCATTAACCATAACAAGCACACGACATCAGTGTCAGAATTACCTGTTATGAGTTTCCATACAAGGCACTAACAAGTTACGAGAGAACTTTTGATTGTTCACAAAATACATTCTGCATAAACAACCAAAATCTAACTATTCCTTGAATTCCCTACTTCATAGTGTTTTTTTTATACAGGGTGATTACTGGGAAACGCATGTTTTTTATTTGCGTAGTATACGAGGAATATAGTTCGGCGACGGCCGGAAGTTGTTGCGCTGTGGAGGGGGAAGTGTGCAGTTTCAAATTTTGCCGAGATGTAGGACCTTAAGCATCGTACGTTTGTCATGCGACGATATTACGCAAATGGTGAATTGGTCACTCAGACTCAGCGAGACTTTCGTGCACATTTCAACATTGCACGGCATGGTGCTACCCCTGATCGTAACACGGTACTGCGTTGGATACATAATGTTAACTCAATTGGATCTCTGCTTAAGAAGAAACCTCCTGGACTGGCAAGGACAGTTAGTACCCCTGAGACAGTTGAAAGAGTGCGCCTTGCAACACTTCAGAGTCCTAGCCGCGACGGCAGAGAAGTGACAGTGAATCCACAACGGTACCTAGAAATGTTGGAAGAATATTTCTTGCCGGAACTGCGCCATCAACGTGTCGAGATACGTAATGACGTATGGTTCAAACAAGATGTGGCAACATTCCATACAGCTCGCTTTAGAATGGAATTCCTTCGGCGAACATTCCCTAAAAGAGTTATCTCACGTTTTGGTGGTGTCACTTAGGCGAACGCTCACCAGGTCTTAAAATTCCAGATATCTTTCTATGGGGATTTTTGAAATCTAGAGTTTACATAAACAAACCAAAAACAATACAGGAACTTAAAGAAGCAATTCGCCAGGAAATCAATGCCATTCCTAGAGATATGATAGCAAAACCTGAAGCAAATTTTTAGGAACGCCTTTAACACTGTATCCAAGCAGAAGGCGACCCGTTAAATTATCAATGTTCTCTAACCACCACGTTAAAGATGTAATTTTTAAATGCTAAATTGCAAGTGATTTTATTCTGAAATTGCATATTGTGTACACTGTTTTTCCACTCATAAATACATTTTTTGCTCTGAATTACCTGAGTACTCGTTATTCGAAAAACATGCGTTTCTCGGTAATCACCCTGTATATATTTTATTATCGTGTTCCTTAGTTATTTGATATTCTTGATAGCTTAAGAAACTCTTTTAAGCTCCTCATAACAAATTTTAACATTTATTAGTATTAGTCCTTAATTCTTTGATAATTAGTGCATTCAAAGAGGTTGGTCGGTAATTTTAAAGCTAACGGGATTCCTTATTTCGTATGACCTTTTACAAACTATCGAACGATGACAAATATTAATGGTTATAATTATGATCACACAGTTTTTTACAAATACATAACATTATTTAACAATCGATCGTTTATACCAGTCTACATTTAGTTGGGAGTTATGTTCTCAACCCAGAAGGCTACAGAAGTAATCATCACAGTTCAATAACTCCAGAGATTACCGTGTTGCTGGGAAAGATTATGTCTGTCACAATGTAAGCTCTTTTTTTTGTTTCGTTTTTTTATCGTTCAAAATTAGATCAAATTACATGATAAGGTGAACCTTTATTTAATTTGTAAATATCAAGACCATTCAAACCATTAACTAGATGTATGATTTTATTCTTGTTCAATCTCATAGTTTCGCTCTGAAACCCCCAACAAAGTTATAACACGAGACATTTTTTATATATAGTTACAACATTGTTTTATGAAGGGAGTGTATCAATATCATATGTGAAGAAGATATAAGCGTAATATTCAACAGAGTATGAACATTGGAAACTGTTTATCCTTGTTTTATATTCATAGGAATGTATATAAAACGGAAATTTTGTTTAGATGTCTCGTGAAATCGAGAGGGGTTTTGCTGGTTTAGCATTTTCAAAGAAATCGTTATGAGTAATTTAATAAATGTCCATAATGCTTGTTAATTGATGAGGCCTAAATCGGAATGAAAGTTGGTCTTAAAATTAAAAATACTAGGGTTGCTTTCAGAGAGGTGAAAGCCAGTTGAGCGGAACAAACGTGATTTGATATTTGTATAAGTAACTAAATGTAAAAAGGTCAATAGATTTATTTACTAATGCTGGTTTTAAAGATTAAAATTATAATAACTCAAATTTACCTCTTCGAGAAGTGCATTATGGTAGTTTTGACCAGGAAAATATTACAGTAGTTGGAATCTGATATTAACATCCAAAAAGTAAAGTATAAAAATGAGAAAGGTAATTTAACATTCAAATGCAACGGCTACATTTTTCACCCTTACAATCGGTTAAAGTATTTAAGTATAAAAAAAACAGTAACTATAAAAAAACGAGTATTAAAGTATAACAACAGGAGGGGAAATTTGACATTTAAATTCAACCGTGCAACATAAAATGGCTGGAATGTAGGCCTAAACATAAGTAATAAGTAAAATCGCATTCAGCTGATTTAAGTGAAAACAGAATAATATAATAAGTAGGGAAGACATGCCTTAAATATACAATGTAGATAATATAATTAGAAATTAAATTATCCATACCGTGGCTAAAAGTGTACTTCTATAAGCCCAGGTTTACTTATCAACGGTTGTAACTGGACGTATGTATAGTCCGTGGCTTGGCAATCAAATAACAGTATTTGTATAGGATGGGCTACTGTTATCAACATTTGAAATAACTGAATTGTTACCAAATTACTGTTTCACAAAATGCAGATTCCATTTTCAGCCGAGCCATTAAAATGAGGATTTGCCGAACAATTATTAATATTACAGAATAGTATATAATGATATACAACTTTTCACATTCCATAATTATATGTTAGTTTTGCTATGGTCAAAGGTACAAATCCAAATGTTCTCTTTTCTTTTTGTCAGTATGTAATAATTTGCTAGAATCATTGACTTTATATAAAGTCAAAGCTAGAATACTGTAGATGGTTTGTTAAGTTAAGACCATATGCAAGCATTTTTGAAATCGTTTCCCCGTTTAACCTTAACCAACTATTCCATTCCAAAAGTTAAAAAATTATATGGTGCAACACAAATAAACAACCCGATCGCCTACCTATAACCTACACTATACCTTCCTAATCTAACCTTACTTCAAAACACTTAATGTAGTCACGAATACTCATAAACCCCGACCTACCTCCCCACATGCCTAAATCAGTGTTCAATCTGCGTTTTATCAATAAGTGTAATAACTTACTGTACCGTCGATGTAATTAAACATAATATAACCTATGAGGTATTATCGGATTAGATACCGATTTCGATGCGGTTCGATATATCGCTTATTAAATCCTGATTTCTAACATTGGCTGTTTCTAATCAGCTGGCAACACAAATAGGTTCCCAAGAAAGTAGTCACCGGTCCGTATCCCTCCGCTCCTTGTTTATGCTCCGCGCATTGAGAAAGTAGTTCAGTATATTTTCTCGATTTTCAGTGAATTCCGTGCCTTAAAAAAATGTTTTAACGGCATTTTCTTGTTTATTAAAATCATAGGAATGGTTTAAAATCGTTTAAAAGAAAAGTATAGAAAGTTCAGAAATACCTTATGATTCTCTTGTTTACATTTTTCTTGTAAACAAAAAAACTGTCATAGCTACTTTAGTCCCATAAGCCCAATGTTAAAAAATTTAAATTTTAAGTTCGTTTTAAATTGCATTAGCATTATCTAATTGAAATTTGTTTGTTTACAAACCATCTCATTATTAGTCTAAGTAGTCTTGTTAAGTTTGGCTGAAATGTGTTCAGCCGTTATTGAGTGATGGTGTTATATTGTTTGCATTGAAGTTGATCCCAAAGAGCTTCGCTCGCTTCGCTCGCTCCGCTCAATTATTATAATCAGACAATAGTATATTTCATAACAAGAGTAGATGAGAGTGAGCCATTACATATTTGAGACCAACGTTACTTTTCGCTACATTACAAAGAATAATTATTTTCTTCATTAAAAAACTCAATAATTTTTTTAGGTTATACCTTCAATTTAAAGTTAATATTAACTTTGGTTGTTTAAAATTGAAACAGTTGAAAAAATAACGAATATTTAAAGTTGTTGACAGTGGGAATTTTTTTTGTAAACAATGTTTTTTTCAGTGTAAACAATTGACAGCTTTTGAAAATATGATGTTTCGCAGGTTGTAAATACATAACTAAAACAGCTCAGTGTAGTGATAAAGAGTTTTGTCTGGTTATTCTAGTAATCCTACAACTATACTGAAGGATTTAATCAAAGAAAATAATTTTATATGATTTTAACAAGTGTTTAAACTTTAATTTTTACGAACAATCAACCGGCTTAATTTATTTACTCTAAAGCAATGTCAGTACTTTTGTCCAATGAGGTATGTACAATATGTAAACGGTGAGTGCGAATTTGAATGAAAAACAATACACACTGTTTTGACATCTTTCCTATTTGGTTTCGAGTTAAGTAGATATTTCCCATTGTTTTCAGCCGTAGAATATATAATATTGTCTCTCTGGGCACGTTTTACCCGTTAGTTTCCATTTCAATATGTTTTCTTCCAAAGTCCACACCTTACCCATTCTAAACCCCAGATAGTTTCTGAACTACCTTTGGGTTTTCAATGAAAGTTTAAAATTTCTATTTACAAATACATCTCCAACTGTTGGTGTTAAATAACAAAATAAGCAATGGAAAATCTGATCACTGAACCACCAGTTGAACGATTTTCCATTGATGATTATAATAATATTTTCCATTTATCCCATTGATAAAAAAGTAATGAAAAATTAAGTAACCTTAATAGTTTGCTAGAATGTATGTTCAACATATCTTATCTTATAAAACGTAAATTCGACACATCTATATATTGAAGAATATGCAATAAACTGCAAAGTAAATGTACTGGAAAAAGTCAAGAGTAGGGACTCAGTGGTGAAATATATTGGTTATCGGAGCCTTTTATGTCCCTGACATTGAAAATTCTAGCATACATATTTTTAAGTATAACATTTCATACTGTGTTCACATGTTATAAACATGACTATAATTCTGAATGACCACTTCAAATATTGGTAATTTCACAGTATTCTTCCTGACTAGAAGAGAAACGTTAACATAAATTAAAATTTTTAGATTATAGTTTCAGATCGTTGTAATTTTTTTACTGTCCCGTCTTCACATTCTACGACACTAGGTTCTAGTCAAAAACTTTTTTACACATTAATTTAGGCTAGTCCTAGAGGGTTGTGGCATTAGATAACATCTATTGGTGATTGGTGGGATATGAACCGGGTACCTCGGGAACCGAAGTCTTAAATACTTTAATACTTTTTATTGAAATGGCGACCATACAAAGTAGGTATTCCAAGTATGAATGAAGATGAGTGTAGGATGAGTAGCGCGATCTTGTAGTCTTGTTAGTGACTAAGGCCAAAGTATTCCTTAGAAACAGCTGTTAATTAATAGCCCATACAGGTAATGGCAAATAATCGACCTATAGTTTATAGTGGAATTCAAACCACGTTTTTGCCTTGGTATCAACAAATTGGTCTAATTATCATGATAGTACTGCGAAAAGACGTAGCACTCACTAGTGCGGAGTTAATCCACAATTCGTGACCTCCTAGTAGCTGGATTGCAGGACGTCGCCACCAAGTCCCAAACTCTACCACTACCACTAGACCAGCTCGCTCCCTCCGTTGTTAAGTATTGCTATCTAGTCATCATTTACC